CCTTTGCTTACTCGTAAACCTTAGTCTTCGATCTAAGAGATTTATGCAAGTGTATTAATATCGAAGGATTCGAGTTATATTAATCGCGCAAACTTAAACTAAACGCGCGGCCTTCTAAGGTTTCGTATATTTAATACGACGATAAGCGTGCATATATGCGCGCATGCGCGCATATATGCGTGCATAAAGTCTATTAAATACTTCGCTAAGGTAAGCTATGCACTTAGTTAGCAAAGTGTAAAACTTTAACTTTAACGTTCCGAATAAACTTTGCGGCGTAGCCGGATACGATAAGCGAAAGTATATACGCGATGTTACTAAGTCTACGGTCTATATATATAACTCGATATCCCTTTTTATTGTATATTATAGCAATATGCAAAAAGCGAGATTCTTAATTGTCGCTTCTCATTCTTTTCATCGAAGGTATTGCGCCGTTTCTATCGTGAGCTTTACTTCTTTTCTTAAGTCAGTTTTCCCCTTGTATTAAGTGACTCTACGGTTCTGCTTAGTAGTGCTAACGGGACCCTTTAAAATAGGTTCTTTCCGAGGATCTCCGAAGAAGTCTCGCAAATACCTCGAAAGGTATTCGCTTTCTCGTAAGTCCCCTTCTCTTAAGGTAGTCTCCGTAAGCAATGACCACGTGAAGTTTCCAAGGCTGACTAATGTAGTAAGGTAAGCTCAAACCAGGGTCCGGGTTAGGGTTCTGGTTAAGGTCAGGGTTGGGTTAGGTTTAAGGTTAGGGGTTAGGGTGGGGAAAAGGTTAGGGTTAGGGAGTAGCTGGAAGGCAGATTGAAATCAAGAAGAGTAGGAGTCCGACAGTCAGTTGCAAAGAATCAAACTGTTTCGCCTGGCTCTTTAAAGAGGGTTAGGGTTAGGGTTAGGGTTAGGGTTAGGGAGTAGCTGGAAGGCAGATTGAAATCAAGAAGAGTAGGAGTCCGACAATCAGTTGCAAAGAATCAAACTGTTTCGCCTAGCTCTTCAAAGACTCGTACGGCGGCTAGGTATTATATACTTAAGCTTCAGCGTAAGCTCGGTATAAGCCGAGTAAGTCATACAATCAATACCCTTGCTCACCCGTAAACTTTAGTCCTCGATCTAAAGGATTTATATAAGTATATCAATATCGAAAGATTCGAG